CAGTCACAAACATTACTCTGCTAGGACAGGTTCCTAATTTTGACATGGAATAAAAAAAAATAAATTAATGAGTTCCCCTTTTTACCAGTCCAGTTTATCCCAGCATTATCAGGGCTGAGCAGATCTACTGACATCTTTGTCTTTACAGCTTCAATTACACGAGGAACAATTGTAACTGCATCAAAGCACTGCCACATACAGAGTCAAAATGACAGTTTTGATTGCCACATGGAAAAAAATGAGTCAAAGATGAAGTTTCCTCAGTACAAAAAGTTGACATGAAGTAGAAAGAAGTGCACTCTCACAGAAGTGGGCATGCAAGCTGTGTCTAACAACACACAGTTCACGCTCATACGAGCTTCAGTGTCTTGGAAAAAATACGATGACAATCTAGGAAACCAACCAGACGGTTTTCAATATTGAAAAAACCTTATTTTCCTAAATATCTGAAGCATTGGCAACTCTCTAGATTTTCTTGGTTAAGAAAAATCAGTTTAGATGTTCTTAATTACCTATATTTTACCTTAAATTTTATATAAACTCTTAAGTGGTTCCTTAAATAGGCAGGGACTAATATGCTACAGCTTTACTTCAGCCAGCTGGTTTTGAATGAGCAAAACCTTGCCTTCATTATTTATGGACCATCACACTTCAGAGTGTGCAGAGGAAGACTATTTTTTGTTCACCAGACTGTTATGGGCTTCACGGTGATGTGAGTCATTGTTTCTGTAGTGCAGTAGGACTCATCTTTGCAATTAATGCAATTAATTAAAATGGCAGTCATTAAAAAAAAGCCAGAAAAGTCATGCAGGTTTACATTTTTTTTGGTTGTGTGAGTTTTTTGGGTTTCTGTCCACACAGGAACATTCTCTTTCAAGGACTGGGGATCCCTTCTATTCCTTGCTTTAGTCTGTCAGTGTAAACTAACAGGGAGTTTGTCTGGGAGTGTAAACTCTTCCTGACAGTCCATGACAGAGCACACATCCTCAAGATGTTTACAAAATTTAGGAAATTTCTTTAGGGCAAGGGGGAAAATAGTTATAAAATCAGTTTTCTTCAGGTATTTTTTGGACTGCTTGCCTACTCTACAAATTCAACTGTCAATATTAACATACATATAAGCTACGCTTATATATATATACACAATATAAGCTACGCTTTCTGTAACGATCAAATTTGCAGATTCTCCAAGACTGAACAGTTCAATATTTTTAACAGAGCCAGTTATTCAATTTTTTTGAGAGCTGCTGTATACTTTCCCTCACACAAATGGCTGGTGCCATACCTTTGGATCCAGGCCGAGTCCTGCTCGGGTCAAGATAATTGAAAGAGCAATATTCCTCAGTGCTGCGGACCAGCGCAGGTTTATCTGGACAAAGTCACTAATGAACGGAGTGTTTCGGATTAGGAAACCAGCAAGTAGCATCCCTTAAATGAAAGCAAATGAAAGCTCCTATAAATGATTAGTTTTTAATGCACGAGAAAAGCCTGCATAGCATTCTTAAAAATAGACACCATATTATTTATTTACGAGAGGAAAAAGTAACAATTCACGTTCTGAATTATTAGACATGTTTTAACAATGGGACTGAGGCACGAAAAGAGAGAAACATATTTAAAGCAGTGAAAAGTGGCCTAAGAAAATACAGGTCACCAATAAATCTGCAGGATGCTGACACAGTTTTAGTCTGAGTCAAGAGAATTTGGCTTTGTTCACCAGGTGCAGGTTGATTACATACCATAAGCAAAGACACTCTTGCATCCTTAAAGATTTTTTTTCTTGTTAGCTTGTTTTAACATGAAAAGAGGAAGATGTTCTAGTATTGTGTATTTATCTCAGAACTTGAAAATCGTTAAAATCGTTAAAAATCCTCTTAGGTGTAAGAAATGCAGGTCACAAGAACCATAATGCTGAGGTTGGGGAAATATAATCTAAAACAGCTAATCATGGACTAATGTAGACATTTTAAAGTGCTCTGGCAATATGACTCCTACACAAAGGGGAAAAAAGGGGGCAGGAAAATCAGAAACTTGGTGTTATCCTCTATTTGAGCTACTTGCAAGATTCAACTTTTGCAAATATTAGTGAAACTATCCAATCAGAGAATTCTTGCAACTGTAGCTCTGGAAGGATATGGAAAAGTACAGGAGAAGTTGACTATAGATATAGATCTGCAGAGCTTCATTGTAAATCTTGATGATTCATTTTTGTGGCATAATGTTGTGTTAGTCAAGTTTAGAAACAGGAAACCAAAAAAAGACAAAAAGTAAATAATCATTGTGCTCAGGTTGCTCCCTGCTCGGTGTGAGCCTCAACTGTGGACTTGATTTGTCCTGCAACACTCTGAACACTGCTTTTCCTAACACCTCCTGGGAAAAAAACATAGCATAATTAATTTGCAGTACCTCATGAGTATTATATAAGGGTAGTATAATGATCATATGCTCTTTGCAATGTTTGCCCGAGGTCCGAGTCACCAGAACTACCCTGATCTAGAAAGCTACTTAACAAAGCAAAAGTCTCCACCTCAAAGGGTATCTTCACTGTTCTGCTCCATGTCGCCTGCTGCAGAAACCTCTCTGCAATGTGTACCTAAAATATACTACGTGGTTGTTTCAGTACCAATTTCACTCCTTTTTTCCTGAAACAGAGGCTCACTATAAGGTGCTTAAGTGCTTAGCCAGCTACATTACACTCTATTGCATCTAGCACAAGTGGGTTAAACATATGTAAGAGTACCAGATTTGCATTTTTAATGTAAAAACAGAATATTCAAAGACATTGTCTATCTCTTCTTCTGACTCATAGATTTCTCCAATTTTTCTCAAGACTGGGGATCAGAACAATGAACTCGGTGCAAAACAATTCAGCAAACGTGCAGTCACGCTTAAGTTTCTGTTGTCCAGTATCACCTGTCTGACAAGCACTTTCATGCTCAACTCATAACTTTTAGATACAGACGTAATTAAAAAAACCCCAAACAAACAGAATCTAAATGGTCAGAAACATTTTTATTCGTTTAAGGGGGGTGTTTACTTTAGAAAGAGAGACTCCCTGTGTGTGACATTCTGTGTTCATATTATTGCACGCATGCATGTTCTATGCAAAACTTCCCTCCCTCTCATTTGAATTTTTTCTTGCTGGTGAAACTAAGCAGTGGAAGAACGTGCACACTGCCTGACGGAGATGTGTATGGAACAACTGTCTGAGGCACCCCACCAGCTGTGCAGGTTACAAAGTCACACCTGTGCACTACAGGCAGGTATCTGTAAGCCCACTCTGCCATGAAGTATTACTGTCTGTCAACAGCTTTACTCATTTATGCAGTAAGCATAGCAAGGAGACAGCATACAGCTGGTGAGAAGAACCTGGAGCTTCATTTTCCAGCTTCACTGATATCACAGCACTTCACAATATTGTACTGATATAAGCAAAACTGAAACATCCTCTAGGAAAGAAGTCTGAAAACATTCTGAAGATGTTATTTTCATCTCCCATTTCTATTTTGCCTTTCTATGTAAAATAAAATAGAATGTTGATGTGAAAAACAATCTTATGATTGATTCAGAATAAATCTCTTCAGAAGAACTGTTCTTTATGGTGAATTTATTTCCTCATGTTTCAGTTATCTTGAAATAAAGGAAGAGGAAAAAAGAAATTTTTCGGACTACTAGTAGTGGCGGATTCCTATAACGATTTCTTTGGAAAACATTTTCATTGTGGAAGAAACTAATGAAACAGCTCAGCAATAGTTTTGCTATGAATTTATTATTCTACTATAACAGGAGGTCTGGATTAAGATTCCTGTTTGCTGTTATTAAACCCAAATTTTAAGTAACTGTGACAGAGGGGACTGGAGGACAATAAACTCTGAATTTGTAGGTATACAGTTCTCTGACCCCCAAAGAATTACGAGGAGAACCTCAGTAACAATTTCACCTGAGCCAGTCTGGGGAATTTTGCACCCTCTTGAAGAGGACCAAAAACGTCACTTGGAAAAGGTGGAGATTTGGAGTGTGACACAGTTTGCTTGTTCCCAATTCAAACACGCCTAGCCTGCAGATACTGCTTGGTGGTTTAAACAACACAAAATATGGAAGAAAAGAAGGAAGGATATCTTACCCAGAAGAGCAGGGAGAGGGGGTAGGGTTCGTATTTTGATGAATCCAAAAATTTTACCTCCAATGACAGCAAAAAAATAAAGAAATAGAATTCCAAACAGATTTCCACCTGGGAGACACTCAGCCCCAGTTATGGACCAAACCACAGCCCAAACCAGGACCACGACTGCAACTGGAACGAAACAAAAAATATTCATATTTAATAATCTCTCAGGAACAACTTTGCTGTTGGATCACATTTGTTTTTCTCCTGAAGAAAAATGTTACCATGACTTTCAGAAATAAAATTACTTACCTTAAAAATTAGTTTAATCATAACAATGCATTTAATCTTTGATGGTCTCTAAACTGATGTTCTGATTTTATAGATGCTAAGATACTTTAAAAAATGGTAACAGGAACATCATTAGAGATCAAAATGTTCTGAGTGAGCCTTTGGCCACCGTGGAAGGCATTTCACAGTTTCCAAATTTAAAGCAAAGACTTTCACTAACTTATTTTGCATTTGCTTATCTTCCTTCAGCTACTTCAGAACCACAGTAAAATCTGCCGCTAAACAGCCTGGCATATCTTCAAGCTCATGACTGCAGCTCCAGCCTAATTTTTAAAAGCATTGAAGTATAATTTTTAGGCTGGATCTGCTTGTACAATACATTGTTATCCTTGGGAAAAATATTCTGAAGAAGGTCATATCTCTGGACAGCCTGAAGGAGTACAGACACTTCCCTTGATACAACAATCAAAGGGGAATAACATGCAAGGAAAAAGAAATCCTGAAAAATATTATGAGAACAGTAAGTGAAAATATTATGCTCTTTGCCGGTTCACAAATCTGTTCCTACAGTTGTCCAACAAGAATAGCTATGCATAGATATAAAAGCAGAAGACTGAAGGAGAGGAAAAAATGTGTTGAATAAATCCCTCTTCTCGTGATCATAGGAAAGTGTATTGCATTTTCAGATTGGATTTTTCTTAATCTTATTTGAGGGTGACAGGTGTCAAAAGGGAAAATCAGTAGATCTCCAAACATAAAAGCCAAAGAATCCCAAGTGAGGGTGAATGGAGGCTGTGGAAACAGTCAAAGCCACAGGATGTGTCTTTTGTCAGGAAAAAGCTTAAATAACTTATTAGCCAGGCATCTCTTCTGTGAACTTTCAGTTTAGGACAAATCTTAAACAAAATGGGTCAGTTTGCCTTGTAGTTAGGATTCTTGGCTTTGCAAGCCTGGGGTATTAAGGAACAAAAGAAGGTATCACTGCCAAGTCTTATATTTATTGCCTTAACTAAAAAGAAAGCCATCCAGTATGCCAAATATACCATTGTGTTCAGAATCACCTTAATGCTCTCAATACCAAAACAAAATATCAAGACAAAACCTAGGAGGTCTTTCTTCTGATGAAAACAGTTTGCAGTGCAAAAACATACCTACCATCATAAACAGGTAAGAGAGAGTGGAGAAACAAAAACTGTACATTCAAATCTTTGTTTTACTTCTTTTTTTCTGCTAAAACATTAACACAAAAGTGTGATAAGTAAAACACAGCTGTTTCCCTTCTCTTTTTTAAAGGATAAAGGGACAGATATCATCCCATTCAGGGAAACAAATACTTCGTTTGCCATTTCTCATTTTAATTAAACTCTGTCTTTCTTACATACCATTTGTCACTGTTTGGGCCAGTAAACCCCGAGGAGGACAAGCAAATATTTGCCTCCATGTTCTTGAAGACCCTGCTATTGGTTCTGGAGGTTGCTGAGCACAGTGGTTCAAGAGAGCAGTTTCTTCTGTTTGTGTATTCCCATCAGTACCTTTGGGATCTGCTGTTGGTCCCTGCTGAATGAAAACAAGGAGACTCTCTCAGAGGTGGTGGGCACTGCATATATTTGAAGTAGTGTACAAGACCTGAAGTCAGGTGGGATGCATTAAAGTCACACTGGCTACAAATGACTATATTAACTAAACAACCACATCCAGCTTTGTAGTTTGGCGTTTTTGGTTATGTGTTTGTTTTTTCCATGGCACAAAGAACTGCATGGGAGAGACTCCAAGCCATTTGCCTTTTTATCTTCAACTGAGAGGACTCCTGTCCCAATACAAATAGCACCTGTGCAGCAATAGTATCTGCATATTTGATGAAGAAACAATAATAACAGGCCAGGCTCAGCTTGTCTTGTATACAAACTAAATATTTATTAATATTTTCTACAATTTGATAGGGTTCTGCTTCCAGACTGGATTTCACAATAAAGTTAACAATTAGCATAATTCCAGTGAGACAGTGTCTTTAATGTAACTGCTAAATAACTCCTGTTGCAAAGCCCTGAACAAAAATAACAGAACAAATATGAAAGAAACAGAACAGCTGGCCAGTGCAAGCATTACTCACATGATCCATTGCTGGAAGGCTCAAGCTGCTAAGTCAAAGTAGAGATGGAGAAATACTACCCTGGGAGTTATTCCCTTGAAGAATGATTCCTTGAAACTGTTCTTTTATACTGATACATCTACTTATCCATATTCATAGCCAAAGCACTTTTTGACCATTTTTGGCTATGTGTCTCACTTCATTTTAGCGTCTTTATTTTTGACAAGTTAATCATCTACCTTCCCTTATGATTATTCACCTTCATGTCAGCTCATTGTCATAGTGTAGACATGGAGTTCTGCCTCTCATGTAGCCCTCCCCCACTAATACTTCCACATTCCTGGTTATTTATGTCTCATTCCTCTCTCTGTCTCTCTCTATATATAAATTCCTTACTCAGAGTCACAACTGGAACACAAATCTTGTGAGCTTTCAGCATGGAATTACTTGTTTATCTACCCTGTGATTCCGTGATCGCCATATGCATATAATCACTGTGTGCATAAAGATACAGCAGTTACCTTTATACTCAATAGTATATGCTTACGTTTAAGTGCCTTTTATGTTAAGATTTTTATTTGTACTTGCATTTACTTCCAAGTCTTTTTTAAAGCCACAGACATTTCCAATAATACTGGAAATAGGCAGAGAAGCTTAAAAGCGTGGGCTTTTTTAATTTTTATTAGATAAGAAAAGGAAGATAGATATGCATTAACAACTTTCAGCAAACGGACTGATAAGTGCAATTTGAAAGCAAAGAAGTAATTTTAAGGCCACATAATTTTCTTCCAAAAAATGTATGCTGATGCACTTTCCACCTCAAGCTGAAACTGCAACCACTGATTTCCAGCAATCCAACATACTGCAGACTGTACAAACTAAACACGTGTTAATTATAAAAAATTCCCACCAAGGAGATTTCTATGTGTATTCTCTTCAGATTCAGGGATTTTAACAATATGGGAAGAAAAAGGAAAGGAAAAGGAGGGTTCCTTCTGACTAGAATTGCAGTTAGAGATCTTAGTTAATTACCTCACTTTGCTCATGCATAAGAATCATGCCATTTCGCTCACATACTGATGGCTCAGAATCTTCACTGTTATTTACATCTTCCTTTACCATTGTTGCAAACCTAAGGAAAGCAACCAAGATGGAAAAGTTAGAGAGACACAAATAACACTGTTTTCCAAATGGAACACTTCTCAGTGTTGTCTTTTTCCCATAGCTCAGGTGAAAAAACCCTCACAGCCCAATTCCAGATTTAACGGTTTTTGCATGTGCCTGTATGCTGTATGTAAGAACAAGAGACAGAAACTAACGGAAGAACAGTATTAAGTTTACAAAGACAAGCAATAAAAAAATAAAATAAAAACCCCTGAGTTTTAGGATCACAATGATGTGTGCTAACCTGTTCATTCCTCTTTAAATGTACGGCTGCAACATATATATATAAAATCTATCTATCTGTCTATTTATCTATCTATATCTATTTGTGCCTCTTATCGGCACAAAGATAAAGGTTATTTGCTGTCAACACCACTTAGGAGGACCACTAGTTCTGCAAGTGTCACAGGCCGTGTGTGCATGGCAGCGCAAGTACCCATTAAATAAAGTTAGAACAACAACTATAGTTTCTAAAGCTCCAGGGGATTTCTAAAGTTTCATGAGGGGACACTTTTCTTCTAACTTAAGCCTGACCAGATCCAGGTTGATTTTCAGGGGAATTTTCAAGAGCATAGCTCTGTTAGATGCCACTAGTCACAAACTCATTGACTGAATATATAAGTAAGAGAAGATGCCTTTGAATCTGTGAGTGAAGATCAGGACTATTCACAGCTTGCAGTCTGTATTCAGGTTAGGCTGATAAAACACGTCTCTTTTTAACTGCTTATATTCCATGGTTATACATCTTAGAGTGGGAAATAAGGTCCAAGCTGTTTGTGGGTTGCCATTGTATTTGCTCAGTCTAACTGGTCCACTTCTTGTCCCATAGATTCTAACAGGACATATGGCAGCGCACTGTTTTGTATGTCAGATTTTTTTTTTGTGCAAACATTTACTGTAGTTTCACAAGTGTGAGCCAGCAAGAGTTTCGTGAGCCTGAAGACAAGGCTTGCTAGTGTTCTTTGTTACAGCAAAGCTGTGCATATATTCTCCATCAGCTAAAGTTCTTGAAATCTTTTACATTGCTCTGACCATATAAAACACCAGTGAAGTTAAGCCAGAACTTCTGAGCCAAGAAATTCCTTCCTTGCTAAATTGTTGGAAGTAAGTCAGAGCTGATTCTCACAATTATCAAGCCTTCAGTTTATAATGAAATATCTGATTTTTAAGAATGATAGATGCCATAAACAAAGACAGGGGCCATTGTAACACCAGGGTAGTTTGAGCAGTTCTGATAAGAAACTGGCTTGAGGCTTGGCAAAGGCAAACACTTTCAGTGTGTTCTAAGGTAAGAGTTTTGCTTTCTTTCCTGTTTAAATGTAAACTGTTAAGTCTACTCGAATTCCAATACTTTTCTATATTTTTAATTACTACTCATGGAACCAAATAGTTGTGTTCTTAGAGTTCTTTAATGACATCAATGATACTTTTGGTTTGTTTTTTTTTTTCATCCCTTCATTGGGGCTGGGAACCCACAAATGCCAGTTGTACTAACTGGAATAGAAAGTTATCAGCAACTTACCAGTGCTTCCCTCCTTCCCTTCACTGACCTCTTTCGCAATATTTCTGTACTTAATTTTGTACTTCTGAAAAGGGCGTGTGTGGGTAAAAGACAGAAAGATATTGTTCTCCTTCCAGCTTTGCACAGGCAACATCCCAGTTCATGGGGTCATGTAGTTTTTAACACAAAATACATTAACACTTCTGAGAAAGGCAGGTCCACCTTGCCACAGCTTCAGCTCCTGGATGCGCGGTTCACAGCAGCACGTGAACGAAAGGACTGACTAAGCAGGGAGATGAATGTTCTGCTTAACAGGAATGGTTTCCAGGTGTAAACGAGAAATCTAATAGTGTATGTGCTGTCCTTATCTGTTTTGTGACAGGTCTTCACCCTGTTGGCAGGATCAAGAACCCACTTCTAAGCAATGTCCAGTTGGATCAATGGGACCACAGTGAGTGGTTAGTGTACTTACATCAGGGAGGGTCAGTCTTCTGGGGGTTCACTGTAATTTTTTTTCCCGGGGAGGAGGTGTTGTTTTGTTTTTTAAACTTCACCCCGTATTCAAACAAAATCAAGTGATTGAGAAATCACAGAGTGGAATTCATACCACAGGGTTAAGGCCTGTCCCATGGAAATCAGCCAATAACAGATTTATTTTAGTACCTCCCTGGAAAACAGACTTTCCTTATTTTGAAACCAGAGAGGTTTTCATTAGATCCTATCATTTTACTTGTTTTTAATGAGTAAGGAGGAGGAAAGAGAGGGACAGCTGACGACAGGGACAGCACGTGCATGCCTATCGCATTAGCTGTGTTGGCTTGGTGACTCTCTACGTTCTGCTTTGCACACAGACGGTACAGAAAGGAATACAAATAAAATACCACAAGCATCGCTAGAGCAACTGGCATTCAGAATAAACTATTAAAAACCCAAACGACCTAAACCACGCATCACATCCACAAAAAGACGCTAAGGAAACCCCGGTGCAGCCTCCTGCCTGCCAAGCCAGCCAGCAGTGCCCGGCGGTCACCCCTCCTGCTGCCTCCAGCTGCAGGGAATGGGAGGCAACGGTACAGAAGGTCAGAAAACTCACCTGGGGAACAGCAGGGACCAGAGCGAGAGAACCGCTCCCTGCGAGGACGGGGACGAGACAACGTGCTCCCGGCTCGCTGCAGCAGCTCCTCTGTGACGGCTGCGGCTCCTCCTCCTCCTCCCCCGCTGTTGCTGCTAGCGACATAGTCCCTCCTCCAAAACCACAGCTTCACTTGGCCAGCAGTGAAAGCCTCCTGCTGGACCCTGGGATGCCCAAAAGGGCGTCCCGGATGCCTGAGTGAACGGGTCGCAGGAGATGGGGGGCTGACCTGTCAGGTTGGTTTGAGCGATGGATCAGACCTGAGCCCATCCAAGGCTCAGAATACCTTATCAGGGCACCGAGGAGGAAGTACGTTTTTGTGACTTTTCAGCCCTTTGCTTCCCATGACATTTATTGCACCCTGTATGCATGGAAAAGGCTTTCTGTGCTGCCTTTTCCGTGGCTGTGGGAAGATGGATGGGGAAGCTACACACAGTCCTCTAACTCAGACACTGCAGTTGGAGGTTTGTTGAAAGGAAAGGATAAGGAGCTCTTGCTGATTCTGCTCTGGGTTCATGCAGAAGAAATGTGCTGTGGCAGGCAGGAGAATTAAAAAAACCTAAAAACCACCCCCTTGCATATTATGGTGTTCCTAGCAAGATATTCCCGCTTCTTAAAGATGAAACAAGTGTGTCCACCTCATCTGTAAATGCTCATGAGAGAATGAAACAGACTAACTTTCAACTCTGCTCTTAGTATCACCATGCAGAACTAAGCCGACTGCAAATCCAAGAGAAAAAAAAAAAGGCAGGTTTTTGATCAGAAAATAAATTTTCCAGAAGGACTCTGAATCGGGGACATCTATTCCTCCCCTCCCCCACAAGAGAAAAGTTTGACCTAGAATCTATAAAGTCATAAAGCCTCTTTATATTATCATTGGAGTGGAAGGAAAACAAAGAGAATTACCCAGTTTCATTAAAAACAGACCAGGGAACTAAGAGGTCACAAGAGCATTAAGAAGCATTTTCCTTTAATAATTCCCACAAGTCTGCTGAAAAATCCCATGACAGAAGAACACATTTCAGAATTGCAGCTGTTAACATATCCATGAAAAGCATTGCTAATAAGGCAAAAGACAGCAAGCTCTGTTGACTTTTATTTTTCTGCTGCACCAGATTCTTGGCGTACCACTAAAAAAGCCCTTGCAGGAGTGCTTTGACCAAAAAGAAAAAAAGAAGCCATTTTTGAGTAGCATCTGTATACTACAATCATCAGGAAGCTTACAAATGTTAAGTAATAGAGTTCAATATGCAATAAGTATAATGAAATTTCTCTCATTCTTAATTATATTTTCAGAATACATGGTGCAATTTTCCTGTGTTACTGTAGTGGGGAAATTCACTCTTTTCAAGGTAAGCCTTCTATGCCTACTACACAAGCAGGACTTTGGCCTTCGTATTAAATCCTATAACCTATGAAACAGTATCCTGCCAGCCCGAGCTTTTAACATTTGAATTTATGTCAGTGAACATTGATGGAGTCATTTTGGATAATTTTGGATTTCTGCCTCAGCTTGATCCTGCTTGGCTGCCAGTGTCACTTGATTGAAATATTAGATTCTCTAAAACCCCATAAACAAACTACACAAGGCCAGAGTGTGCCAACTATGATTAAAGGTAAAGGTTAAACACATAATGAGCCTGAGGATGCTAACAGACACAATATTTTTCTCATTTGTGAAATTTACATTTACTTACAATTTTAAAATAAGAGGCCTAGACATTTTAACTAGACATGTTCCATTATCTTTGAAATCTGGTAATTTATATTAATGCTTCAGCTAATATTGAAAAGCTTAAGGAATAATTTTATAAACACGGCAGTTGTTGTTACAGAAACACACACAAAGTATTTTACATTTTTTCCTGTGCTTTGATTACTGATGAATCATACTCAGAAGCATTTATTCTTTAATTCCTCCCTTACATATATATGTGTTTGATGTATATGATTATATATATGAAATTACATATATTCATGAACTAGATAAATGGAGCTGTGTGTAATTGTTAAAGGTAACCATCTTTATAGGCAGTAAGCCCATGTCATTCATGTTGAGTTTAAGTGTGTTAGTGAAACAAATACTTTTGGAATTCAGGTTACTCATTGCCTTAGATCTCTGGGTCAGGATCTATGTTTTTTCACCAGAGTATAAGACTTTACTATAATAGTTTTCTGTTTCATGATCAAAGCTACCATATGCTACCATAACAAAAACATCAACACACACTCTTGTAGAAACAGTCCTTTTCAGAAAAACTTTGCCTTGTGTTTTCATACAGACTGAATTGGTACTTGTGAATAAAGCATAGAGCACCAAAGTGTAGCACCTAGCACACAGATTTTACAGTATTTGTCCAATATTAGTGCATCATTTTGGGGAAGAACATATTGGCTCTATCTAGAGTGGTAAAATCCACTCCTTTTGCTTTTGTGCCAGAAGTCAAACATATTCATAAAGATCCACCCATGTATTTAAGAACACTTCTCTCACATATCCCCTCATCCATGCCTGCTAAAGTGACATCCTTGCATAGAACCTTCTGTACATGAAAGCAGGAGAGAGGAGATACAGTAATGATACTTCCAAGACCGTTTTAGAAGTGACCTCTACAATTAATGAAACAGTTCTAGTCTCTATTTCTCCTCTTTTGTACTAGTTAATGTACTTATTTTATAACTGATTATATCATTACATGTCTCTGTGCTCAACACACTGTAAGGTTTAGTCTTAACCATTAGAGCAGGCTCCTCTCCACCATTTCTGCTTCATGAAGACAGTGCCTATAGTGGTTACGCGCTTAAACAAAAAAACTCTCCCAAACTCCACAAAGAGGCCAATTCTCTTGCTTCTAATGGTAATCTGTTGCCCTGCCTTTTGCATTACTGCTTTTCCAGATTTCAGCAACCTAATTTACCCAAGATCTGGAAAATGGACATTGCAGTTTCACAAAACAGCTGTGCAAGTACACTGGCTCTTTGACATGTATGCAGGAAGTTTCATGTGCTCATATACCACATATCTACATGTTTGACTATCTTGCAGCTCTGACTTTGGATCTGTAAGTGTTGTCAGGCTTGGAACATTCTTTTCAACAATTCAGACTGTTTTTCTACAGCTATTAGAGTTCTAAAATATTTTGTTAACGATAGTACAGAGCAGAAAACCACTTACTTCATAACTTGCAAAGCAGTATGTGCTTTCAGCTACAGTTTGTAATTGGTATGTTTTCTTATTATAGAAACATCTGGTACCAGTAAAAAAGTGATTCAAACATTCAGGTCTTCAAATTTATTATTATTTCTATTTTATTCTGTTTAAACCATACTTAGTTCAGGATCCATTTGGCTGATTTAATAGTTGTTGCTCCATTTTATCTGGATAGTCTGTCAATGCTAGTAGAAAATCTATATGTGAATGTTTAATTTCCAGATACTTTGTAAGATGAGAATAAAGATAGTATTTGATTCCTCTCACTCAGATTTGCTTAAAACACAACTCAGACTTTGTACCTTGAATAATATTTTTGGCCCTTTGAAATCTTAAACATTAAACTGCTGTTCTTTCATGTTTTTGGAACTGCCATAAACTGAAGCCACATGAAGTACATTTTACTCCAGTGTTTCACTGTTTAAGGAAAAGTGAATCAGTAAGGTCAATCTAGAAAGAGTAAAAATGCAGCAAATAGGAGTAAAAACACAGCAAATTTGTTTGGAAAGATATCATGTGCGTGATCTAAATCTTTGCAAGAAACACTACCCTCACTTTTTGCCTTTCATGGTATAAGTTTCCATTTGCAGGGAGAGTCAATCACAAGCTCCATCCTCCATCGATGATTAGTTCATTGCCAGTGACATAGGCAGACTGAAATTACATAAAAAAGAACAATGATTGGAACTAATTTTTCATGGCTCTTAATTACAGGGAAACTCTACTTCTTTAAATTCAAAAATCTGCTTTCTTTTTGTACAAACGCTTTTTTTTTTGTTTTACAAAAATGCCTGAATAAATAATAAAATATCTCAATATAAACTTTGAAATTGAAGCCTTTCAGTTAACTCAAGGGAGTATTACAAAAGTATTATTAGAGGCATTGAGATGAGAATGCATCCTGAGTGTACAAATTCACATAAGCTAGACTTCAGATATCTTACCTATAGGAATAAATGCCTCACACTATGTTGTTATTAGCTCTGTTCAGCTGAGCAGAATCTGACCAGGTCAGGCAATAATTATGAGGAGACCTAACTGAAAATTTAGATCATGCAGAGAGTGTGGTAAGCAACTGAGCTGTTGACATTCTTCTCTATGCCAGTAGTGAAGCATACTGAATTTACTGAAAAGCTAGAATTCTGTCTATACATGGTTGAAAACCCTGTAAGCAGATTGGAAAAAATTAGTAGTGTTAAAAAAATACTACAACCAAGATGAAATTGAGAGACAGATTACTGGTAGATAGCAACATTAGGACTGAATTAAATCCATTAAAGTATTTTGATATGCACATTAGGACTGCTGGACAAGTCCAGAGGAATCCAGTCCAGTTTTTGAGATGTAGTAAATCTATAGCAGATGGAATAACATTGATGTGTGCTCATTAGTGTTGGTGGTATTTGCAGTGGTCATCAAGAGTTTGGTGTATAACAACCTCAGTGGGTCTATTGTTTTCCTTATGCTGAAAGGGCAGATTCACTCTGAGCATTAGCTAAAAGCTCCAGCAGTTCTACACAAATATTTTGCCCTTGAATAGCAAAGGTAGGTGATGACTACTAATTCTACCTTCTTAGAACATGATCTAGCCATGGTGAAAGCTTGGAAAAAGAAAACAAGCCCATTTGTCCTGCCATTTAAGATGATCTGGGGTCAGTCAATTTGCTCAGATGACATGAAACCACCAGGCTATGGTACCTAATGCCTTGCAATCCCTGTCAACATTCAGAGTACTTTTTGTATTGCAGGTTGAACTCAGTAAAAGCTGGTCACATTTTTTTACTTTTCTAATAATCCAGCTCAAAGACAATATAAATCATTCTGAAACAAATACTCTGTACTGTGAGGCAGCAAAGTAGT